GTAACAAGGACGCTACTAGGAACAAGTGCATCGCTACTAGGAACAAGAGCCTTACTAGTAGTAACAAGGACGCTACTAGGAACAAGTGCATCGCTACTAGTAGCTGATCGACTTGAACGGGTTGCTGAGTTGAAAACGAATGAGAAGATGCATGAGATCGCGTGCAGCGAGCCTAACTAATACGGTTCTGATTTTTCCGAAATCGCTTCGATACTAGTGCCTTACTAGTAGTAACAAGTGCCTTACTAGTAGTAACAAGGACGCTGCTGGTAACAAATAGCTTCGATATGCTTCGATTCTCGAGCCCATCGCTATTAGGTTAGAGGCCTTCGCCCTTCGATTCTCTAGCTTCCATGTCCAGGTCTTGAAAGCTTTGAATTTGCCAACTGTGAGGCTGTGCTTGTCAACGTGCTCGGCGCAGGTTCAACGAAACCATGCAAGCTCTCTAGGTGCAGACAATGATCATCGCGCTGCCGAAGGGCATGGTGAACGTGAGATGCGCGTGTCATTCAAACATGCAACGATGCTTCCCATCTTAAATGCTTGGAGGCGTTCATTACAAACGAGTGCGCTTCCAATGCTTGGCAGCTGTTACACAAACAAACAATATGCACAAGCATTTTTCATATATTGAACGCTTTGCACCTTCATCACACACACAAACATGCAACCATGCTTCCCTTCTTGAACAATTGGCAGTTTCATCGCAAACAAACATGCAACCGTGCTTCAAAGTCTTGAATGTGTGGCAGATTTCACACTTGAATGCTTTGCACCTTCGTCACAAACAAGCGTGGCTTCGAATGCTTTGTTGCTTTCATCAAATACAAACAAGCACAAACAAACAAACCAACAAACAAAGAAAGATGCACAAATTGTGTTCATTTTGGAGTCTTTACATCTTCAGCACAAACACACTTGCAAACACTGTCCCATCCTGAATGCGTTTGTTTCCGAGCATTCATGATGCATGCCAATATGTTCTTCAAAACATCTTCTTTTCAAAAGATCCGTTGCGACTGGGTAACCATGTGGCCATTTTTGAACGCTTTGCAGCATTCATGTTGGATACCAAGCATGTTACTGTATTCAAACAATGGGCACATGCTATGTAATGAGACATCTTTGGAGAAGTTCGGCCAGGCAAATCGCGTCGACGCATTTGACCTTTCGTTCTGGAAGCGTGCCCCCTACCTAAAAGCGATGGCCTCCAACCTAAAAGCGATGGCGTCGAACCTGCACCGAGCCACAATTTGCACCAACCACGGTTTACACCAAACCATGGTCAATTACTCCAAACCACGGTTTACACCACACACCGTTACAAGGAATCCCGGTGAACACCAACCAGCGTTTACACCAAACCACGGTTTACACCGCGGGGATCAACGCCCCTTAGTCTGATTCAGGGGTTTGTAATATACTTGTAACTTATAACTATTTGTCACTTGCATGGTACCGTTTCATGTTTTGAACGATCATCCGCCTGTTTGTTGGCAAAAGTTATGACTGTTTTATGGTGGCATGAACGATCCTTATTGATTTTGGAGGCTTAATCCCTCAAAAGCGTGCGTGGGCCTTTCCGCTATCTCTCGCCACATCTCGTTTCCAGACCCCCTCCAACCCAAAAACGATGGCCTCCAACCTAAGGACTATGGCCAAATGGTTGCCTGTGGTTGCCTAATGAGGGCATCGCTACTAGGAGCAAGAAGCTACTAGGGGCTCCTGGCCTTACTACTAGGAGCGATCGGACGCTACTAGGGGCTCCTGGCATCGCTGCTAGGAGCACTCTTACTACTATAGTAACAATCTCCACGATGGGTTTTCACCAGTGCCGGTCTTTTCTTTGCCGCCAGTTTGGAGGTCCAAATCATGTGAAATTGTTATTCCAAGTGTTATATATTCCAAGTTGTTTCATGTCATGCAATTTGCTTGTTTTTGTGCATGTTTTCCTTTTGATGCCCTTTAACTCTTCAGGATATTGATTGCAAGCGATTAGAAAGCGAGGCGGGCAAGAGGGAGAGCAGTTAGGTTTTTGAAACGTTAGAGTTTGTGGAGTGGAGACTCGCTCGAGTCTGCTTCGTAGCGGCGACTTGGAAACGCTTGGAAGGTGGCCCAGCTGCGAAATCTCCTCGTCGAGAAGGAGCAGAGGGGAGCAGAGCGGAGCCGTTCTGGGCAATGTGAAAAGACGATAGGTCTTGGGAGAAACCAAAAAAATGGAACAAATACAAACAGCACAGAACATATTCAGTGGCATGAGACTTAGGCAGTTTTTTAGGGGAGTGTTGCATTTGCAATATGTTCCAGCATGTTCCAGCCAATCCAGTTCAGACAGAAGGAGAAGAACAAAAGCTCGAAGAACTTTTTTTCGACATCTTCCTTTCAAAAAAGGCATGCCAGTCTTGCAGTGTTTGGGCCACATGGCATTCAATATGACTGCTCATCTGTTAGGCACAGGAAGAAGCACAGAAATCGTGCTGTAGATGTATATTTCGATGCACTAAGATTTTGTTACACCAATCCTAGGTTTGCTGGGATCTTAGTATGGACTGGCCTTTTCACAACTTTGGACATAACAAATTGTACTTCGCTGTGAGGAGATTCGATTGCAGGAGGCACTGGACGCGCATCAAACTGAGGCTGCCCGCGAAAGCCCGCGTCGCTATACCTTGGGCGATATGCTCATATGCCGTATACATCAGGTATGCTAGATGCGGAAACAAATACTTGTATGATACTTGACAACGGAGTGGAGTTGTGTATCATGCTTGCAGAGCGTTTGGGCTGGAAAAAAACAAGACAAAAGACATATTGCATTATTACATTGCCTTACTAGTAGTAACAAGAAGCTAGTAGTAACAAGTGCCACGCTAGTAGTAACAGGTGCCTCGCTACTAGTAACAAGAAGCTAGTAGTAACAAGTGCTACATTCACAATGCACAGCAGCACGACCTCGCGAGACTTCATGAGACTTGAAGTATAGATAGCTACTAGTAGCTTCTGGGCATCGAACAAGGGCTACCTACGGAGCGATCGGAGGCTACGCACGTTAGTCGGAAAGTATGGCACACTCGGACTCGTGGTTCGGTCCCAATGAGACGTGGCTTCGACGGCATCTGGCTACGCCGTGAGTTCCATGCGGATTTTGGTGTTTCAAACGCCAAAGCTGACGTATGTCCAGACATTGGAGTTTTTGCTGCGAGAGACTTCTGAACAGAAAGTGGATCTGGCCATTTTGCCCGAGTTTGCACTTGAACATCCCGCACAATGCAGCAACCAATCGGAACTTTCGTACGACAACGTGTCCATTATGATGCTTTCGCGTGTGGCGAAGCATCGACAAATGTTTGTGGTGCTCGGGAGTGTGGAGGAGCGTCAACCTACAGGGGTGTTTGACACCTGTGTGGTGTTCAACCGGTCTGGAGAGATCATTCTACAATACCGGAAACATGGCTCGGATCGAAACTCCTTTGAGACTGAATATGGTACAGTGGGAGTTTTGCTGGGAGCTGAAGTGGAGGATGAGAGGTGGTCCACGCTGTTGGCACTGTCACCGTCCCTGATCTTGAATCCCTGCAATGCCCCTATGGAACTGGACACTGCTCTAGCAAAAGCACACCCCGAGTTCCCAGGCAGCAAATACACTTAGATATGAGGTCTTGGGCTCGCAAGAGCAAAGATCAGTCGCTGGAACACCGCTGCACTCACACTTTAACTCGTTGGCTCTTTGGTGCACGACACAGAATGGGAACGGCTTGAAGAATACTTAGGATCACAGGGAGAAGGGGACTGAGTCTTCAATGCATTGGCACTTGATCTCGATAGCCCTTTAGTGCACAACACCGGATGAGAAAAGCTTGAGAATCACAAGGATGTAGCGTCCTTGTTCCTAGTAGCTTCTTGCTCCTAGTAGTAAGGCCAGGACCTAGTAGCGTCCTTGTTCGTAGTAGCAATGCCAGGAGCCCCTAGTAGCTTCTTGTTTCTATAATGTACGTCGAGAGAGCGTCCCCTCTCGATATCCTAGCTCTGAACCACTCTCTGAACCTGGACCTTTGTTGGCTCACGCCAGGAACAGATCCATGAGCCCCCTGCATGGTTAAAATTTCAACAGGACGTGTGATGGGTTCCCTTAGAAACAGGGGGACTCACACTTAGATGGTTGCCCGCAAGAGCTAGGATCAGAATGAAGTCCCCCTTGACTTGATGAACAGAAAGAACGAGAACCGAAAGGTGGCTGAGTCGATAGACTTGTAGATGTTGAACACTGTTGGGAAATGCATTAGCCGCTTACTGCAAAACACAGAATGGGACAGCTTGTCAACAGTTGCATAAAAGAGCAGGTACATGGTTGAGCGTCCTCAACCACTTCCCTTCCAGTGACCCAGCTTCGTTGGATCAGGTTACTCCCTGGAAGCCTGATCCCCCTGCCTCTTTTTGCTCGCGCTGTTTTAACTTGAGGTTGGTTCCTAGTAGCAAGGCCAGAAACTACTAGTAGCATCCAGCCTCCTAGTGAAATCTACGGCAGGCAAACTTACCAGGTACAAACCTTGGAAACAGGTGTTAACACACACTCACAGAAGCCAATCCATGAAATATTCTTTTACGTCATTCCTGAGTTTCAACTTTGGAAATGACAACAGTGTTGAAAGAACATCACAAGTTGAAATGACGTAGATTTGCCCAATTGCCACGACTCAGGCTTCAAGTCGCCGCTTGGCACAAAGGCTTTCGGCGCACGGAAGCATCGGTGCAAAGCCGTCTCCGCACAGTCTCTGGCCATGGCGGCCCTGGTTGCGTCTTCATTCGTTCAGATGCACCTCTGCGGCAGGGTGGCGCTGGCTTGTCGATGTTGGTAGAGGCCAATCGATCAGTGCTGGCACCAAGCTGGGGAGCGTGTTTTTTCTTGCTGGAAATTGGAGTTGGTGCACGCAAGTTGCCCAAGTGGCGAACGTTGACCGTGGATGAACTCATCAAGGCCGCTTCACAGGATCGTGAGATTTTGAAGTGTGACACGGTCGAAGTGGGACCACGCTATCGAGTTTGGACCCTGCGTACACCAACATTGGCAAAAGCTGCTATGATCCAACGAGCTGAGTGGAGCAGCCTTTGGCTTGAGCCCGAGACTGAGGCTCTTCCTGCCAAACTGGTACATCTGTCTTCGTGTTTTTTGTGGCCCATCCTAACCCGAGATGGGCGACAAGTCTATGTGGTGGCCGAGAGCAGTCCTCCCATCATCACCCTTTGGGATTTGCGTCATCGTCGAGAGTGGCAAAGCTTTGAAAGTGACGCCTTTGCCGAGATTACGGCGCTGGGAGCAGGGCCAACCTATGCGCAGTTCGCGGTCGCTGGGCACACGGAGGCGGAGGGAGAAGACTTAACACCTCACGATGTTCTTACCCCTGGGATTCCTTTCCGAGCTGAATCAGAAGTGCAGGCTATTGCCCGCGCTCGTAACACGGTTTAGTTGGCCATGCATGTTCCACAATTAGCCAATCAAGCCTGCTCCTCGAGTACAAGTATATTCGATCTTCTTCCGGCGTCTAAGAAGGCAAAGCTAGCCTAATATGTGCAGACAAGGTGCTAGCGCTTGTGTTTTTCGGGCCATGCTTCGTTCCAGCGGACACTCGCCCAATACGGACACTCAGTGACACTCACGTCATTGGAGGCCGTTCAAGACGGATCGCCATGCTTTCCTTGCCGCCAGCGGGTCCTCTTTCGCAAGTAGGTCAATTGCTCGGGCAATCGGTGACTGGAAGCTGAAAGTTGCCACATGCCGCGCTTAACTTCTTGTAGTGGCCTCCAATCTGATAGCGCCTCCAACCTAGCTTCTAGCTCCTAATAGCTTCTTGTTCCTAGTAGTAAGGCCAGGAGCGCCCCTAGTAGCGTCCGATCGCTCCTAGTAGCGCATGCCCTTTGCTCCTAGCTTCGCATCTTGCTTGGCATATTGGCATTTTGCTGCCGAAGCTGCCTTTTTCTGACAAATTGCACAAGCTCGACCGGCTCCGCCTTGTTCGTGGAATGTGCCCTCAAAATCTTAGAACAGTGTCTTCTAAAGAAAAACACTTTGTGGTATTGAAGACCAGAACGGAAAAAGAAGGTCACTTTGTATAAGACACACGTAAAATAGTCAACCTGGACTTACTGTTTTTTTTGGTGGCACCTCCAGTGTGCATGCACAGCGCCCATGTGGGCCGCCATCTTCCAATAAACATTCCAATTAAATGTTTAATTACTTATTGTTTCTACTAGCTTCTTGTTACTAGTAGTAAGGCCAGGAGCCCCTAGTAGCATCCTTGCTCCTTGTGTGCTTCAACTAGGCTGGTCTCTTGATCCAACTCTACGAAGAGAAGCGGCTAATCCAAGATTTTTCGATCGCATGGGAGGATTTCCCATTCAATGAATGGAGAGTCTTCCCGGAGCTACTGCTTGAAAGAGGGGATGAAGATGAGCACATCGGGATCAAGCGAGATGATCTCGAGTTTCACCGAGCAGAAACTTCAAACTTTTTCCGTTTTGACACCGAAGATGACGAGGAAAAAGTGTTTCAAGAGAGATCTGTGAAGATCCGCCGGATCTTTTGGAACAGTCCACTTCAGGTGGTGGCGATTGCAGATTCTGAGAATCTGGAAAAACCTGAAGTTCTTTTGTTGCTTGACTTGGACAATGGATCTTTGAAGATCGTGGACATCTACTGTGATGGTCCACCAAAGCTGGATATCATTCCAGAGCACGTGGAAACCGTGGAATCTGTGTCTCTTCCGACCGGGACCACAAACACAACCACAGATGAGGTCCAAAGTGAGGCCTCCGCTGAGCTAGATGAGGCTTCGACAGAGAGAAATCGGAAGATCGACAAAATCATTTCTGTGATGGCTTTTGAGAAACAGAAATTCCCAGAGCTGCGCAATCTGCAAAGTGGCTTGGTTTGTTTATGGAGGAGCGATCGACTGTGTATTGTGACGTATGGAGATTGGAGAGTTTATGATCAAATTTTGGTGGAACGAGAGAAACATGAGAAGGAGAGATGGACCGATCGAGACATACCACTTTGTGCCTCAATTCTACCAGAACCGTCGTCCACGACCTCTGGAGGCTGTAGTTTGTTGGCCTCATATGCCTCGATGATCATCCGCTGGTGGCGTGTGTCATTAAAAAGTTGCTTTCAGCAAGCATGTGTGGTTCTGAGCTCTCCAGTGTATTCTTTGAGTTTGCTCTCTTGTGATGGACCCACCACATCGCTCGCCGCGCGCTCGCTGGAGAGCTCCCGAATGGTGGCCTTCGGGTCGACGAGTGAGAAGAACACGCGCACGTCTTCCATCGGAACACATAGCCAGCGTGGCAGCCAGTTACACAGCCAGTCACTTCAGGGACGCATCCAAGGCTCACTGAACTCCAGACTGTCGATCAGTGATCCAAAAGTCACGACTTCACTGGAAGGCTTGGCGGAAAGTCCTGCTACGATCTTGATCTTTTGGATGAATTTGTACCACGTTTTTGTTTGTTTAACGAAACAGACATGTTTCTCACTCATTTATAGTTGGATTTGTTTTCGGTTCCGTTTTCACCACATGTTTCTTTGTTTTTAATTTAAGGGCTGCCGCCCCTGCCGCCGACCCCGATTCTCAGGTCCGGCTTTTCCTCCATTGGTTGGCAACACGTCACTAGCAACTCTGTAAAGATGGCCGACAGAAGACCGAGAGGAGCCTACATCACTCCACTTAGAACATCATCCTTGCAAACAATATGTTTCGGTCGATTTCATCAGCTCCAATGCCAAAATCGAATCAGACAATATGGTTAATAATACGACAGATAAGATGACATGACATGGTCTAGTTAGGATTTAGCAGGATCAGTTAAAACATTCCCGCCACAGCCTCCCATGGTCCCGCCACAGCTTTTCCCAATCTAATTCTGGTCCAAAACAAGCCTCCCACGGTCGCACTTTGGCCCCGAACACCTGGTCCCGCCACAGCTTTTCCCAATCTAATTCTAGTCCAAAACGAGCCTCCCATGGTCGCACTTTGGCTGCCTAACGCCGCCTCTGAATCTCTAGAAAAAAAGAAGTTTGTGTCCATTTGTCTCGGTCATCTTGGCCCCGAACACCTGGTCACCTGGTCCCGCCACAGCTTTTCCCAATCTAATTCTGCTCCAAA